CCCCAGGGTGCAGTGGAGCCCTTGAAGGAAAGGGCACCCTGCGACCAAAGCAGGCAGACAGTTTCACGTCTATGTTGGGCTCAGCTTACTTTCATGGATTCATAGCTCAGGTGTGGCCTTGGTCACCTTGAAGCTTGTGAGCGCTGCGGCCGGGAACGCGCTGTTCTATGGCTCCGAGGGTGAGACATCCGACGAGTGCGCGGAGCCGAGTACTCTCCTCTCGCAGGTTGTGCAGCAGACCACCGTCGGTTTTGCTCCTGGGCTGAAATCGGAGGGGCAGAACGGACCAGGCCGACATGCCAGACGCATTGACAGCGCCGTTCACGCCAGGAAATATAGACTAGAGAAGGACCCGTTTTGAAAGATAGCTCGCTGGAAGACTCATACAAACTGGACATCCAACGGGTACGACATTTCTCAAGCTATGGCTGATTTTGGTGCTTCTTCACGTCGTCTAGGCGAAGAGACCCTGCAGAGTGAGTTTGGTTGATTGAGTTGTCATCCCGGAACAAGAGCAAGCATGCTCAATATCAATGCATTGTAGTCAGGGTGTAGGGATGGCCAGCGATCGCAAAAAAATCGTCCGCCAAGCCAACGTGGGCAATTCTGTTGGCGTCAGGTTTCGGCATGCATGGGCGACGTGGTAGTTCTTTTCTTCTTCCTCATGCAGAAGAAGCGGGTCACTCGCCAGGCAGGGCAAGAGCCACCCAGGCAATGCCTGAGGGCTGCTGGGTTCTTTGTCAAGTTTTATTTGGGCATTCACCGGCACGGCCTTGGCTTGGAAGAATCAGTTTGCTTCAAAGATTCAGACGCCGTGCAATTGCCAAGGGGGCGTCCATCTTGACGCTCCATGCTCCATGTGATTTCTCGAATGCCGTAGCCAAGTTGCTTTTGATATTTGCGTTAACCCACACCAGATCTGAAAGAGGTGCCGCCTCCAGGCGTCAATCAGCATGACGCGGAGATTGTGGCTGTGCCGGACCGTGCTCTTTTGGGTTCCTTGGAAGCTTGAGAAGGGACTTGCGCCCGCAAGCGAGGTTCATTTGCCGAACGGCGCCCCGTGTTCGGCGCGCAGACGTGTGGTCCCGCTTTGAAGACACAAACGAAAAGGGCGCAAGAAGACATGGAGCGTATGATATACAACATGCGTCCAAACGTGGAAGTGTTTCAAACTGGCACCTTTCATCACTGATTGCTGGTAATGTCTTGTAAGGTTCAGCTTGCCATTCATTCCTGCAAGGACGCTGAGCATCGTAGTGTGTCCAGTCTGCGGTGGCAGTCAAAAGGCGTGTTTGCTCGTGATGCCCGCCCAGGTTCTGTGGTTCCTCTACATGATGATCTTGACGCTCTACGTGATGCTTTTCCTGGCAAACTTTGGGACGGTGGATTCCGAGAGGTCCGCCGCTCTCCCTCCAAGGCCCAAGGCCCGAAGGCTCACACCAGGTGCCAGCTTGCGCACAGCGAGGGTTGATCCGACTGAAAGCTCGGCACGGACGGCAGGTGGATGCACGCAACGCTTGTGAGCTTGATGCAGGAGCGGGCTTGAGAACCTGTAGCCGTGGGCAGACGGGGTAGGCTCCACTGCCGCTCCAAAGCAAGAACTACTCAGAAAATGCCCTTAGCCTTGAAGTGTGCCAAAAAAGAAGACGCACACACAAACACAAACACACACAAGCACACAAGCACACAAGCACACAAACACACAAACACGCAAACACGCAAGCACACAAACGCACAAACGCACAAACACACAAACAAACACACAAACAAACACGCAAACACACAAACACACACACACACACACACACACACACACACAAACACACACACAAACACACAAACAAACACACAAACAAACACACAAACAAACACACAAACAAACACACACAAACACAGGCACACAAGCCAAAAGCACACAAGCACACAAGCACACAAGCACACAAGCACACAAGCACACACAAACACAAACACGGAAAACGCAAAAAAAACCAATCGCACAAGCGCACAAACGCACAAACGCACAAACGCACTAACACACTAACACACTAACACACTAACACACTAACACACTAACACACAAACACACGCACACACACACGCACAAACACACACACAAACACACATAAACACACACAAACAGACACCAACAGACACCAACAGACACCAACACACACCAACACACACACAAGCACACACAGGCACACACAGGCACACCAGAGCACACCAGAGCACACCAGAGCACACACCAGAGCACACACCAGAGCACACACCAGAGCACACAAACACACACACACAAACACACACACACAAACACACACACAAACACAAACACACACACACACACAAACACACACAAACACAAACACACACACACACACACCCACACCCACACCCACACCCACACCCACACCCACACACACAAACACACCCACACACAAACACACACACACACACACACAAACACACACACAAACACAAACACACACACAAACACACACACACACACAAACACACACACACACACACACACACACAC